CATGGATTGAAATTAGTCTGGTTCAGCAGGATACACTTTAATCCTAAAAATTGAAATCCGGGCTAAACAAATATTGTATATATACAAGAGCCAGGTGTATTACTTGGTGTTGGGTGTATTTCCAGATATTGTGCAGTAATCCAGCATGAAACAACTCCTACACTTTGTAGGAGTTTCCTGTAAAAAAAGACTGACCACTGCTATTCTCTTTTTTTGTTGACTGGTTTTGTATCTGCCAGTCCAGTCTGTGTTCAGTCAGTGTGACAAATTTGTCTCCTTCCATAGATACAGTGGATCAGTGAGCATAGCCACCCACAGGGACAGGATGTGTGTTACCAGGTGAAAATTAAGGGAAAAAGGAAACTTAGTGTAGCCATCACAATTAAAGGATAAGTTCACATGTTCAACGTTCCACCGGATTTTAAGGTGGAACACATACAGTAACATGTTCTGACTCCTGTAGCCTCTTGCTGTTCCCCTCACTCATGATCCCTTCTCTGTGACAGCTGGAGATCTTCCCCACTCACCAGCTGTCACAATATGAAAAGAATGCAGCCATGTGGGGCTCCGCTCACACAGCCACATCATTCCTTCACAGACATCTGTGAATGAATAAACTACAAGTACCGACAGCCTTTGCGGCTGACGGCTTGTAGTTCTCAATGAACTTCCAGGGCACTAGTGAGAGTACTAGGAAGTTCATTGAGTCTTCCTCTCATTGTGTAGCTGCCTGCCTGTACGTGATATGAGCAGATAGCTTACACTGACAGTCTGCAGGAGCCCTGCATTGCACCCACGATTTGCTGATCATGGTTTCAATCAGAGGCGGTCTGACAACTCAAGGAGCCCCCGGGCAATAGGGGGTCATGGGGCCCCTGTATCCTTGCCCACACTCAAAAAAGCCTATAAAAAAGATACCAGGGGCATTTCATGGGGCCCCCTACTGACCTGGGGCCCTCGGGCAGTGCCCGAGAGTTCGAATGGTCAGTCCGCCCCTGGTTTCAATGCTTTCCAGGCTCCTACAAAAAGAATAATAGTAAATGCATAAGTTTTTTTACCTGCAAAAAAATGTGCATTTATTATTTTGTTAGAAAGGTGAACTTATCCTTTGAAGTCTGGTAAGATGCAATATATAAGGGTCCTTTCACATGGGCGTTCCATTTTTTTCATCAGTTCAGTCACGTTTTTTCAAAGAAAAAACAGATCAGTTTAAATCTGTTTTTCATCCGTTTACATCTGTTTTTCGTCTGTTCCATTTTTTTTTTACGGAAGAAAAAAACGGATGTTAACGGACACGGACATTAGCGGATGTAAACAGATGATCATCCAGTTACATTCACTAGTCCATAGAAATACATGGGTGTCCGTTTTTTCATCCATAAACAGACACATGAAAAACAGACATAAGGAACGCACGTATGAAAAAGTTTTGATACACTTTAATGCACTGGTGTCAAACTACAAGGCCCATGTCAAACTACAAGGCTCATGAGGCAGTGCAAGACTGACAATTACAAGCATGCCTTTCAAGTGCAGAGGCATGATGGGACTTGTAGTTTTGCAACAGCTGGAGGGCCGCCAGTTTGACACCTCTGCTTTAAAGCATAGCATATTAATGTACGTGCCACGATGCAATGCAACAGTCTAAATCAGCCTTTTTTTAAACTGCTGGGCCATTCCTGATACCTGAACAAAACCCTAGAAGAGAACATTGGCAAACAATATACACATTTACCACAGTTCTTAGCAAAACTTGTTATTTTTTTCTATGATACTGTCTTGTAAATATGTCCTTACATGTGTGCTCAGCAGTGGTGTATTTACCGCAAGGCACGTAATGTTTGTGTTGCTTAGGGCAGCACAAAACCTAAATACACCACTGGTGCTAAGGCCAAAAAGGGATAATGTTGTGGGGACTCAATTTGAAGCATTTTTTTTCCCTTGTTTTGGGAAAAAAAAATGTTAATGTTATAAAAAGCTACAATTTAGAATGAAATTCCCAGCAGATAATCAAGCAGTGAATCAGACTGTGGACTGTAGAGTCGAATCCACATGAGTTCTGCTATGAAAATGGTGAAAATGTTACCAAGCTTTAGGTCGTGCCTCTGAAACAAAATGATTAAACCAACAGAGGGCACTTTGTCATAGGAATGTTTTATTAATACAGTGCATGCTTACCTAAATGTACAGAAGATAAGGAAGCTGATAAAAAAACATGTTTTACCTATCTCTGATTTAGGAATTAGAGTCTTGTACCATAATTTACATTGATTAGCATCAAAAGTTGGGAATTTAATTAATGTCCTTTATTTACTTACTTAAGTCATTAAAAATGCAATCTTTTGGAACACATTATTTCCTTCATCAGGCATTATACAAGCTACAGGGATCGGGGGGTAAATCTTTTTAACAGTAAAAAACCCAACTGGCGTTCTTATCTTTCTTCACTCCAAACGTAGAAAAATGTCTTTGGCTTGACATACACTTTATCCAGTAACAGTAGTAAACGTAAATACAAAGCTCTAATATATTGCAGCTTATCAGTCCTTAAATGAATTAGTATATTTTTTAAATCCTTTTTTCCTTTATTTTCACTTGGTGATCTTGCCAGCAATACACTAAAGCTAGATTCACACTAAATACTTGTGTGGGACTGCATGTAATTGCACACATTCCTGCACCTGCATCAAATATGATCTGCTGACCGGGGCGGACTGACAACTCATGGGGCTCCCGGGCAATAGAGAATCATGGGGCCCCTGTGTCCTTGCCCAAACTCAAAAAAGCCTATGAAAAAGGTACTAGTGGCATCTCATGGGGCCCCTACTGACCCTGGGCCCTCGGGCAGTGCCCGAGTTTCCAAATGGTCAGTCCGCCCCAGCTGCTGACACACAGGGGGTGCCGTTAATTATTAATTGCAACTGCACAAACTAGAAACTGCAGCGTGATTTCCTGTGCGGGGAACTACATAGCACTATGCCATTTCCCTGTGACTGCAATTTTGAAAAAGGTGCAGGGACCTTTTCCCTGCTTTTCTGCATTTTCAAATAGATCGGCTGCTGTGCTTGAGCAAATGCATCCACCAGGAATCTGACAGAGTATGAACTCAGTCTAATGCCCTCCAGGTTAGCTACAGTAGATAGGGTTTTCTTTTGTTAGATAGAGGCTGAGTAAGGATGAGTCAGTCTGGGAGTGAGGCAGGAGTTCACCTCAGCACAGGCTGGGTGGTTCTACATGTCAGGGCTTCTAGAGCCCTTCCACCTTTCCAGAAACCTGAGAACCTTCTGGAAGAGGAAGAAGGGGAAGAGGAAGGCCAGATCTGCATGTTTGAAGGACTTTGACCAATCCCCTGGCAGGAAGCTGAACATGGTAACCAGGGCAACCTTCTGTCACGGACTGCCAGTGCCTCTCCCATCCCCCGCCATATTCCTCCACCCCTCCCTTCCCCCTTATACATTAGAAGGTCTGTGGGGCTTCCATGGACAGGGCTGGGCCAGCCGTTGCCGAGGCAACCTAGCCGCGTCCCACATGATCTTCAAGAGACCCACACAGGAAGCAGCCTTCCCTTTTGTTCCTGGCCATGTGAGTAGAATCATCCTGCTCCCAGAAAGATGCTGGGAGGCTCGGGTGAAGGGGACCGAGTCTCCCCAGCCATCCCCCCTGCGCGCTCTGCAGACCCCCAAAAGGTCAGGACTGTAGCCCTCTGCAATACCTCGGGGTTGGGAGTCTCCACAGCTCTGCATGAGCCTTCTCCTCAAAGGTCAGACCCCACAACTGAGACCCTGCCAGTCTGTAAGCCTGTCTACTGAGCACCCTTGCACCCTGTCTGCTGCTGAGTGCCCTGGGAGTTGTTGCTGAGGGGGCCTGCATACTATCCGTGGCTGCGTGTCCCTGGAGGCTGTCTTCTGCTGAGTGCCCTGGGAGCTGCTACTGTCTGCTGATCGCTGGTTGTCCCTGGAACGCTGACCGCTGGTCATCCCTGTCTGGAGTCGCCTGCCGCTGAGGGTCTGCAAGCTGCTTACCGTGAGTGCCCTGAACTGTTCCTGTTGTGCGCACTGACCACCTGTGTCCTGAACTGTTCCTGTTGTGCGCACTGACCACCTGTGTCCTGAACTGTTCCTGTTGTGCGCACTGACCACCCGTGTCCTGAATTGTCCCTGCTGTGTGCACTGACCACCTGTGTCCTGAACTGTTCCTGTTGCGTGCACTGACCACCCGTGTCCTGAACTGTTCCTGTTGTGCGCACTGACCACCCGTGTCCTGAACTGTTCCTGTTGTGCGCACTGACCACCCGTGTCCTGAACTGTCCCCGCTGTGTGCACTGACCACCTGTGTCCTGAACTGTTCCTGTTGCGTGCACTGACCACCCGTGTCCTGAACTGTCCCCAATGTGTGCACCAACCACCCGTGTTCCGAACTGCCCCTCTGTGTGTGCACTGACCACCCGTGTCCTGATGGCATGCCCAGAGTATAGCTACCTGTGGTGCCTCTGAGTGCTTGAGCCATCGCTACCTGTTGAGTCCCCGTGAACCCAATGACCCTAGAAAGCTGGGTGGGAGCTGTGCTGTGGCCAGCCTCCACAGCTAGAGTCCCGTTGAGTCCCCGAGGCCCCTGCCCAGTGGTAGGTTGCTGTCTGTTGCCCGAGGCCCCTGCCCAGTGGTAGGTTGCTGTCTGTTGCCCGAGCCCCTGTTGAGGGGTAGATTGCCGTCTGTTGCCCGAGCCCCTGTCCAGTGGTAGGTTGCTGTCTGTTGCCCGAGGCCCCTGCCCAGTGGTAGGTTGCTGTCTGTTGCCCGAGCCCCTGTTGAGGGGTAGATTGCCGTCTGTTGCCCGAGCCCCTGCCCAGTGGTAGGTTGCTGGCTGTTGCCCGAGGCCCCTGCCCAGTGGTAGGTTGCCGTCTGTTGCCCGAGGCCCCTGCCCAGTGGTAGGTTGCTGTCTGTTGCCCGAGCCCCTGCCCAGGGGTAGATTGCCGCCTGTTGCCCGAGGCCCCTGCCCAGTGGTAGGTTGCCGTCTGTTGCCCGAGGCCCCTGCCCAGTGGTAGGTTGCTGTCTGTTGCCCGAGGCCCCTGCCCAGTGGTAGGTTGCCGTCTGTTGCCCGAGCCCCTGTTGAGGGGTAGATTGCCTTCTGTTGCCCGAGGCCCCCTGCCCAGTGGTAGGTTGCCGTCTGTTGCCCGAGGCCCCTGCCCAGTGGTAGGTTGCCGTCTGTTGCCCGAGCCCCTGTTGAGGGGTAGATTGCCTTCTGTTGCCCGAGGCCCCTGCCCAGTGGTAGGTTGCCGTCTGTTGCCCGAGCCCCTGCCCAGGGGTAGATTGCCGCCTGTTGCCCGAGTCTCCAATCCGCTGTCCAGTCACGGAGGGAGCCCGGCTGAGGCCCCAAGCCTAAAGGGGGGAGATTGCCTGAAGACCCCCCCTGTGCCTGGAATTGTCCCTGGTTTGCGCACACACATCACCCTCCCTGCCATTTCCCTATTGAGTGTCTGTCAATTTGTTGTTTCAATAAAGTTTTGTGTGTTCCCCATCTTCTCCGTGTGCTCTGTCCTGCCTACGCTTCCGTTACACCTTCAAATATGACAGAGCCAGGTGGGAAGAGGGGAGTCAGGTGGAAGAGGGATTGAGAGAAGGCTGGAGTGTGGAGCCTGGGAGGGGGCCCCAGGGTGGGGAGCCTACCTACAGGGTGGTTGCTGGAGGATCTTCACTGTCTAAAGTCTCCTGGGGAGAACTTCCTTAGCAGCAGGGAAGGAGCCAGCTCAGCGAAAGGAGCTACCAACCCACCACCCTGACAGGACAGTGTGAGTAGTCCTACACCCCCTGGGCTGGATAAGGGGAGAGAGGGCTGTCAGGTGTAATATTCAACCTGGAAGAAGGAGGATTCATCCACAGTCTGAGGAGGTACACCAGAAAGGAACAGTGTTTTACTTTTTTTTTGCCATTCCACCCCCTTTTTGTACATAGTTGCTAAGACGTTCATCCTCAAGTTCTACAGTGCCTCAGGGATCCCATATACCCCAAGTTGTTAATCCCTTAAAAAAACACAACTAAAAAACCAGCTCAAGTACTGTTTTGCTGACTCTGAAGGTACAAGTGTGGAACATGCGTGTTGCCTGACCGTGTAAAGCTTAGGGGGACCCAATCAAATCCAGCAGCCCTTATGAGGGTAGTGCTACACTAGCCTTAGGGTGTCTCCATTCCACTGGAAGAACAACAGAGACACCTTTGGACATTGTCAGTTTGGGAAAGGGGTAGTGTTAAACTAACTAATTTAGATGGGCTAACAAATTAAAGCCAAACTCCAGCTAACACCTTTAAGCAGTTACAACGATAGCTTTTTTTTTCCTTTTGGGATACAAGTTTTATATAGATGTACAAAAGCTGACCATTGTAAGCACTCCTGAAATTATTAAATGGTTTGCCATGAAATACCTACCTTAGAATGAAGCCCTCTAGGGCTTCCATCTTCACATGATTTTCTTTCTGGATTTGCGGGCACTGGCAGCTTGAATGGCCCGGCCGCAATGACATCACGCATGCACGCAGGAGTTGCAGGCCGCAGACAGCACTCTGAAGGAACGGTATGCGTATGCCGTTCCTTCAGAGAGCATGTGACGGTGATGTCATTGGCTGCCGAAAGAGCAAATATCTCCTAGATGGTACACGTTTAGACAAACAATGCAACCATCGCATCTAAGACGTGCTAAGCTGATATGTACAGTATATTATAGATTGTTTGTTTTTTGGGGTTTCATACTGCTTTACCTCCAAACTTTCTGCAAATCTCTGATTTGAAATATCTGACCTAGCACCACTAACTCACAAAGAAAAATATATGTAAAACAGCATTAATAATGTTTGTTTGTTATTTTTACTTTTAACACTACTTCATTCCTTTGCAATATTAATCTGTATTACTTTTACAGACAGTGAGCCATTTCACATGATTAGTTGCAATGGAGTGAATTGTAAAAGATGAAAACATCTGTGTTGAATTCCCACGTAAATGGCATCTAAAATTTCCAAGTACTTGTACCTATTACTTTCCAACCCCCAAAGCAATGTTAACATGGGCTTAAACCCTAAAAAGTTACTTTTCCTATTTGCTCCTTTGTTTCTGTTTAGTTTACAATTTACAATATTTTCTTATATCTGTTAAAGTGTATATTACTGTAAATATGGTATTTCAGATTTTTGACTGTGTTTTTGATAAATTCAGCCTGTTGTATTTTTATTTCTTTGATAGCTGTTAAATACTGTACCTGGTGACCCTGCTTGTACCCCTTCTTTTCTGTTTGGGCAGCATGGTGGATAAATAGTTACTTCCGCCTGGCAGTACTGGTTCAAATCCCAACCACACCACCACCTGCCTGGAGTTTGCATGTTCTCCCTGTACCTGTGTGGGTTTCCTCTGGGTACTTCAGATTCCTCCCACACTCCAAAGACATGCTGGTAGGTTAATTGGATTCTAAATTGCCCCTAGACTTCATGCCCCTTCTACATGGAAGATACACGGGTGCATGTGGGGAGGTGGGGCGTGGTGCAGTAAAGACATTGATTCCAGTTGCAACAAAACATGAAAATTGTATTGATGAGAACACCAAATACAAACACTCCTGCAAGAGAACACTGCCTGGGGAGAACACTCATAGTTCAGTTCTAGGCAGAGATGCAATCAGGAGAGATGTACAGAAAGTTCTGTTCAGAGGGTTAGTTGCCAAAGCGAGCCCAAACCCTAAGACTGGGACTTATAAAGACCTTGCTGACCCAAAATGGCCACCAGGGGTCACATGGATGCAGCATAGCCAACAAAACGCTGCTCCATGACCAAGGAAACCACAGAGAAACCAGGTTTCCCTTGACTTCCTCCCCATTTGTGGTAGCACTCATTTGAGCGCCTCCTGCAGTGAAGCCAACAAACTGCACCTGCCTAAGTGCAGGCTTCTGCTGACACATACTCCCCACGCAAAGTCGTATAAAGTTTAATTGAAAGCTGCTGGGGCATGTGATGGCAAAATCTGCTGATCACCACAAGGAGTCTCCTCGCCCATCCTAGGATGCTCTGCTTAACGCAGTTATGAAAATGACTGTTGACAATGAAATAAAAGGTGTTTACAAAATGTGTTGTCTTGTATTACAATTTCACAATTTTGTAAAGAAATAGTTCACATATACTTTAGGTGAAAAAATGCCTGTTGATCCTGTCAGAAATCCACGTCCTGCGTCTTGTGCACTCTTCCTGTGCTATCTCAGGATGTCTGTAAACAAAGGGACTCAGCGAGCGCTTAATGATGGAAGCAGCTAAGGCACTAAAAAGGAAACCATAAACCTTCTGAGATAACTTGTGATATTGATAAAGTGCAGCACTTATAACATAAATAGATAAATTGATGAATAAATTAATACATTTATTAATTTATTCATCAATTTATCTATTTATGTTATAAGCGCTGCACTTTTACAATATCACAAGTTAACTCAGGATGTCTAATTGGCCCTTCCATTTCCTTCCTTTGACTACAATATACCTCCCTCTAATGTTGTAAGGTGTTCTGTAGGTCAGAAAAGGGTTGTGCATGGCTTATTGTGATTTTAGTGCAAACACACTAAAAAAAAACCTAATGACACTTTTCTGGCTGTATAGCCCTTTAAAATGGCCTGTGTCAGATTAAAAAAATCTGCTGACTATTTCAGTATCTGTACTGACATGTGCGACAGATTCATGTAGTTCCTCATTCATGTAGAACCTCATTGAAGTCAATGGGAGCCAGATGTAAAAAACAATAATTTCTGCCCATTTTCCAGGCTAATAGACAGAAGATTGTCAAAATGGCATTGGGGGCTAGGCACTGCCCTGGAGGATATACATCAAAGCAACAGAGAAAAATGTTTCAAGCCTGGCTCATACCAATGCAGTTTGCTTTTGACCCATTTTTGCTATGCATTTTGCAGTTCACTTTGCGTTTTGTTTTTTAAGCTTTTTTTTGTTTTTTTGTTAAAGGGGAGATGTTTTTGTAGCTGGGCAGAATAAAAACGCAAAAGGCAGCTAAAACACGGCAAAAGACATGAGTTACAGCAGCGTCTCCACTGAACTCTATTGTAACAAAAATGCTGCTTTTTGCATTTAAAAATGTCCCTGACCCTTTCCAAAAATGCAGCTGCTCAAAAAAGCATAGATGTGAACGTGTCCCATAGGAAACCATGTTAAATAGACTGTAGTGCGTTTTTGCAAAAAGCACTAAAAAAGCCTGTGAACCAAGCCTAAAAACCCTGTTTGGTGAAGAGCAGCAATTTTAATAATGCTTCTGACACATTAAAAATGTAAAACTCCATTAAATAACATGCCTCGGGGTGCCTTGACTCTGCCTTTGAAGTGGTGCATCTGTGCAATGTATACAACCTAGTATAGCAACACTGACATTTACAAAGAAAAAGTGTGTTTACATTGAAGGTAAAATGACAGCTCCCGGACGCCTATTTCTGTTTTTAAACAAAGCAACGTGGAATTCCATTCATATAAAAAAAAAATGCATGGGGATTCCCCATAATATATACCAGGCCCTTCAGGTCTGGTATGAATTTTAAGAGGGACCCACAAAGAAATCAAGAAAAAAGGAATGCAGTCTCCCCAATAATCCACACCAGGTCCTTATCTGAGCATGCAGCCTGGCTGGCCAAGAAAGGAGAAGAAGATAAGCATGTGACCCCCCCCCCTCCTGAACCATACCAGGCCACATGCCTTTAAGATTTGGAGGGCATCTTGTCAGGGGGGATTCCCATGCCAAAGCACGAGGACTCTTCCCCACAATCTTGGCCCAGTGGTTGTGGGGTTCTGCAGGCAGGAGGCTTTTTGAAATCTGTAATTTCTCTTTAAAAATAAGGGAGCCTCTAGATACTAGTTTCCCTGTGTGATTGAGTAAGGGGTACCCATTCACAAAAAATGTAATCTGGAAATAAAGACACCCAAAAGTCCTTTATTAAAAATAAAAAAAAATATTGCAGAGATGTACTTTAGTTTTGCCCTGACATACGCTACATTTTAAAGTATATAAATCCCTATATTAATACACAGTTAAATAATGGTGACAGAAGAAATTCAAATGTTACCGTTCATTATACAACAACCTGACTATAAAATTCAATGCAGCATACACTGCTCAAAAAAAATTAAACGAACACTTTGAAAACACAGCAGATCTCAAAGGGGAAAAATCTCATGCTGGATATCTATACTGATATGGACTGGGAAATGTGTTAGAAATGTAAGGATGCCCCTTGTTTGATGGAAATGAAAATTATCAACCTACAGAGGACTGAATTCAAAGACACCCCGAAAATCAAAGTGAAAAAATGATGCAGCAGGCTAGTCCATTTTGCTAAAATGTAATTGCAGCAACTCAAAACGGTACTAAAGGTAGTTTGTATGG